ATAATAGAGAATCCAAATGAAAACCCACCAATCAGAATCAAATTTACAAACAAATCTATGATGTAATGATGTAATCTTTCCTAACGTGTAAGATTTTCAGCAGAAAAACCTGACGGCGAATGCGCCATAAGGTTAGGCTAAGTTTGAATCGAAGAATGGTGTGATTTCTTGAAACTTTTTTGAAATATGATCTAAAAAGAGTGTTGAAGTATAAGAGAAGAAATTTAGGTCTACTCCCCTCGGATCATAACCGATATTACTATCGAAACCGTCACAGATCGTGACAGAAATAACCACGACACTGAGGTTTATTGTGAAATTATTTTAAACAACGATGGAACTTAAAATATATGTTTTTCGTTCTCTTTCAGCGCTCACTGTAACAGTATGTAATATTTCAAAAATTGGTAGATATATTACTGAATCCCTTCCTTTACAATATAAGCAGATTTATCGTGTTTCACATTTTAATCTTCCAGGGATAGCTCTAACAGCTTTCTTTGTATGTTATGGACAGTGTTGCCAGATGCGAAATCCGAAAATCCGGAATTCCAATCTCAAAATCCAGAAAATTCCGGAATTTTTTTTCTGAAATCCGGAAAAATCCGGAAAGATTTTCGAGGGTCTGTTTTGATCGCTTAAAGTGCATTTTTCTTAATCAAATTATCAATGACATATTTCGCTGTTAATTTACACGTTATTTTTTAGGACAATATTTTTCATTAGAATGGATAAGTTTCAATAATTCTAGTTTTGATAAGAAAAAATTATAAATCTCTGAACTAGGGATGTACCGAGACTGAAGATTCCCTAAGAAAGATAAGTATTTTTCTGTAAGAAGAATCCCCGAGACTCGACGAGATTTTTATCTAGAGTTGCTCAGCTTGATTTGATTTATATGTGCATATAACTGGGCAGATCGATTCCGAAAGTAAAAGGCCGAGTCTCGGTCAAAATTCCGTTTTTTTCAATCTTTTGACTGAAACTGACCGAGACTCAACCTTTTACTTTGGGAATCGATCTGTCCAGTTATATGCACATATAAATCAAATTAAGCTGAGCAACTCTAGGCAGAAATCTCGTCGAGTCTTGGGGATTCTTCTTGGAGAAAAATTCCCATTTTTATTAAGAAACCTTCAGTCTCGGTACATCCCTACTCTGAACACGATAAACTGAAAAAATCATAAATCCGTGAAAATCCGAAAACAATCTGGAAAAAAAGCCGAAATCCGGAAAAAATCCAGAAACCAGAAAAAATTCGGAAAAACTTGCAAAATCCGGAATTTTTCTGGAAAATCCGGAAGATCTGGCAACACTGGTTATGGAATACACTAATGGCCAAAAGTACCACTAGTAAATGAAAACTATTTAAATTTCAACCACTTGGGCTCATACTTTTAGTTAGTGTAAATAGAACTAGGTGAACTCTGATCACAGGTACTAACCTGATCTCGATTGATTAATGTCTACTGGAGTTATTAGCCCAATAGTATCATCATCTTGTGAAGATCATATCTCAACAATTTTTTGACGTTGAATTTCGTGCGACTTCTCATTCGGAAGTCCAACATCTAAATAATCTATGACGAAAATTTTGTAAAAAAAATTAATTTAAATTAATGAAGATATGATCTTCGCAATGAAAATATTTGACAAGCGTTTAGTCCTAGTGTTGAGTCTGGTGTTAAAAACTCGAGGTAACTTTGGTCGATCTACTTGAAATTTTCAGTCATGACTTCTGATTGTTCTAACGGATGTTCCAGAAATAATAGGTATCTCAATATTTTTATGATATCTCTTTCAATATTCGTTTGTTCAGACTTTACTTTTTTTAAAAAGATTCGTCTTTTCAAGCTCTACAAAATAATGTACTGTTATTTGTTTAAATAGCGTCCATCATTTTCTAAGACACATTTCAACTAAAATGTTGTTTTAGAAAATTGTTCAGCTTGGGCTGTTCGTTTGAAGCATATCTTGGAAAATGATAGATATTATTTGCATAAAGGAAAAATACACCATTTTGTAGAGCATTTCAAGACGAATCTTTCGAAAAAAAGTAAAGTCTGGACAAACGAATATTGAAAGAGATATTGTTAAAATACTGAGACACCTGTTAGTAGTTGATGAAAAAAGTTTCAGAATCATAGCGCAAACTGGAGTCGAGATAGAATCATCAAAAGAGCTCATTATAACACAGATTGTCAATCAATGGGATCTCGATATTATGGCATGATCTTTTGACTCAGTTAACTAGACATAGAGAGCTGCATTCAGCACCAGAAAAAACATAAATAAAATGTAACACCATAAAATGGCAAGTGAAAGATTCTTGATGTAGCACCTTTACTCAATTGTATCCGCTTTATCCAAGAAACTGTCAGCATGTATATAAGAAGCGCTCGTACACGAGTCAATTAAGCTTTGGCATTGAGGTAACATCCTTTTTAGATTCAAGCAGTTCAGACATGGTATACATGCGGCTAACGCTATAACACGAAAATTCTAAAAGCTGAAGGAATTGGTTTCGGCGAGTAAAGATGCTACATCAAAAACTTTTTACTTGTCATTTTATGGTGTTATATTTTATTTATATTTTTTCTAGTGCCAAATGCAGCTTCCTATGTCTAGTTTACTGAGTCCAAAGATCATGCCATAATATCGAGATTCCATTGATTGGCAATTTGTACCATAATCAGCTCTTTTAATGATTCTCTCTCGACTTCACTTTGCACTGTGATTCTGAAACTTATTTTCATCAACTACTAGAATCATAAGAAGTCATGATTGAATTTTTGAAGTAGATCGACCAAAGTTAACTCGAGTTTTTAACACCGGACTCAACACTAGGACTAAAAGCTTGTCAAACATTTTCATTGTGAGATCACATCTTCATTAATTCAGAGTAATTTTTTTACAAAATTTTCGTCATAGATTGTTTTGATGTTGAGCTTCCGAATGAGAAGTCGCACGAAATTCAACGTTGAAAAATTGTTGAAATATAATCTTCACAAGATGATGATACTGTTGGGCTAAGAACTCCAGTAGACATTAATCAATCGAGATCAAGTTGGTATCTGTGATCAGAGTTCACCGAGTTCTATTTACACTAAAAATATGAGCACAAATGGTTGAAATTTAAATAGTTTTTATCTGCTAGCGGTACTCCTGATCACTAGTGTACATTGAATATTTTGAGCGGTCTGTGCACATCAGAAAGATGTTCTATATGACGAATTCGATTGGGAATCACTTTCTAAGATCTTATGTAACAATTTGAATTAGAAGAAAGCAGTTTTCTTGGCGGGAAGAAGGTTTTTGTTCTCTTATCGATCCCTCCTTTAAAGAACTCATTTATTGCTTCTCGTAATAGAAAACGAGAAGATGACAAAGTGCTAACAGCAGATTAGGCCACATCTTCATACTCGAATAAAAAAGTCAAATGAATTCTGAAGAGTTCTAATGAGTTGGTCTCTTTGATTTATATTCCTTTGTCTGCATGTTTCTGTTTCCAATCGATCATTTGAAAATAACAAAAATTAAAAGCTAATGAATAGTCTGTCAATCTCGTTCCATTAAATGTTAAAGTGGATTAGAATGCTACTGCAAACGATTTTACTATTTTTTGTTAAAATATTTTTTGCCTATAGGCTGTCACAATCGACATATTTTGTTCTAGTAATTATTTTGATCTTTTTTCGTAGAAATGTTGGACTTTTTTTACATATTCTGCATAGAGACAAAGAAAAAACTTTTACATATTAAGGTTGTGTCTTCACAATGACTGACACCGTTTGTCCAATACAACTCAAATACGAAACGTTAATTGTGAACAGTCATCGTAAACGTTATGATATTTCGTCGTTCTTAGATCGCATACGATCATTCATGAACGATTACTCGCTAAGATCACTGCTTTTCACCGTTTTTATATCGTTTAAGAGCGTTTACCAGTGGATATTAATAAAACGAGCGAATATTACTGAACACCTCAATGAAACGTCAAGAATTCGAGGAGAAAAAGGACCTAACAACATCTATAAAGCACTAATTATATACTCAAAAACTTTTTCTGACTTAAATCTGATTTATTGAGAACAAATCTTTGATGGGTACCAAAAATGACGTTTGTACAGAATTTCTACTGTAGTGCATTTTTGTATTTTGATTAAAGCTACCTCAATCCTGGTTATAAGAAAGTCTTTTATATACCACTTTGTAGAAGGATGCTTGCTCTACAAAATCCCCAATTTGTTTCTTTTCCTATATATCATTGCACTTCAGCAGAATATGTTGCAGTTCAATATCAAAATCTGCAAAAAATGATTATTTCAAAAAATGTCGTTTCATGTAAAGAGCAGCATCTTGGAAAATGTTTGTAGCTTTTGAGTTTCATTTTATTACAGCCGGGAGTTTTGTAGAACATTAGATACTCTACAAAAACAGCAGATAGAAATTATCCGATAATATCCTTTAGAGAGCTTACGCATAAAAAGAAAACAGCTTAACCCTCCGTAGACGTTGTGAGGTCCGCGGGAACCCATCTGACAATCTTTCCTCTAATAGTCCGTCATTATTTGTTGTTTTGGGTTATTTCCTTTCTCTAATCTGTAATCCCTAGTTGACTCATAATATTTTCGCTAAAAATCAGAAATAGCTCTAAGGAGGTAGGAATGCAGTGATGGATCCACATGTACTCTAGAACATCCATCGTGTTATAAGTATGATTTTTTTGTCTTGCTAAAGCTACCATCTGTTATCTTTCAATTGTTTTTCCAAATAGATTTGTTATGATTCGCCTGTATATTCATCCCTAATGTTAATAATTCATATTTTCTTTGCATAATGTGAAATTCGTGACTATTTTCAGATCAAAACCACATTTCTGCATACTGTTATTTTTGTCTATTTATCTCGATTGCGTGAATCTGTTACAACCCTTTTAAATATGTAAGAAAATTAAACTAGAAAACATACATTTTCACCTTTTCTGTTATTATAGCATGAACGCAACACATAAGTCAAATTTAAAATGAATTCGAGATATTCTATTGGCAGATGAAAATGAAATTAATAATGATTTTAGTGATAATCAAGGTTCTGATTCGGATAGTGAATATGATTTTGTTGCTACTGAATCAGACAATACATCTAATAGTGAACATATATCAGAAGAATCTGATCTACCAAATTCTGATATTGAACAAGGTGATGTTATTACAGCTAGTCAACCAGAAACATTACAAAAGGATGGTATCACAAGATCTATGTACCCAAACTTAGAACAAAGTCGTATAGCTGCTGCTAATATAATGAAAAAAAGCCTGGTCCTACTATTAAAATTCAGACAATTCTTAATGCTTTTAAACTTTTCTTTACCAATGAAATTCTTGATGAAATTGTTCTCCATACAATTCTTTATGCTAAACGATATTTTGATCAAAAAATAAGATCACGACAAGATTCTAATACCATAAGATTAGATTCACATTATTGGAAACTAATTGATCATATAGAATTAGAATCTTTTATTGGATTATTGATTCAATCTAGTGTGAATCGAAGTAATCATGAATTACTTTATGATCTATGGGATATTAGTCAAAGTTGTCCATTATATCGTGCCACGGTGTATCCCATTAGATATATATTTGAGCTTTTTGTCAAACAACTTCCTAAACATCTTGTACCCGGTGAAAATTTAACTTTTGATGAGCAATTAGTGCCTTTTCGAGGTCGTTGTTGTTTTGTACAATATATGCCAAACAAGCCGACTAAATACGGACTAAAATTTTGGATTTTGTCTGATGTAGATAGTCGGTATGTATTATCAATTCATCTGTATACCGAAAAAAAGGGCAACCAAATTCAGAAGAATCTTGTAACTAATGTCATTCTTAATTTAGTTGATCATTTGCCGAACAACGTCGAACAAGGTCGATGCATTATATTTGATCGTTGTTTTACAGACATCAAATTATCTGAAGCTTTGTTAGATCGAAAAATGACGTCTATTGGAGTTGTTGAACACAGACGCTCGTTTTTACCTGATGAATTGAAAGTATGTCGCCGAAATTTATTTTCATCGTGGTTTTATTTTTCAGGACCACATATGCTTTTGTCCTACCAAGCAAAAGAGAAAAAGCCCGATCATCATCTTATCTTCGTTGGATAAACATCCTGAAGTTTTTGATCACGAGAAAAAATTACCATGTGTAGTTCATGACTATAATCAGACAAAATGTGATGCTGATGCTAATAAATAGGCAATGGTCAATGAATATCTTTTACAATATGATAGATATTGCCGCAATCAATAGTATGACAATTTGGTTATGTCAAAATTCTGAATGGAACAAAGGAAGAACAAATACTCGTCGCATGTTTTTGTCACAATTGAGTATGGCTTTGAGTGATTAACAAAATCAACGACGTAGTCAGTAATCTCGTCTCAAGCCAAAAGTAAAACTTGCTTTGTTGTCTCTTGGCTATCATCTTTGATCAGAAAGTGTTGAAGATCTTAAAGTGAACGTCCATTTGAATCCACCAAAAAGAAGCTGTTAGTTGTGTCCATCAAAACCCGGAAGAAAAGTTCGCCAAGCCTGTCACAATTGTGGGCAGAACATTTGTCTTTTTCATTCTAAAAGCATTACAATGGTCACTTGTCAGACATATCAAGAGAAAAATTTTTAAAAATTTTATATTTCACCAGGAAAATTAAACAACAACAACAGCAACACCTTCATTGTGCCAGGAAAACTACTGTTTTAGATTTTTTTAATCATGGAAAAAAGAAAAAGATAAAAATAAAGCTGTTGAAAAAGAGACAAACTCTTTCTCTTCATACCTAATACCAATTATGTATGTGGATATACGAGCATATTTCTACTGTTCTATAGACTGAGTGCATTGGATTGATCACTTTTTTCAGCTAAATTTCTGTGTGTGCAATGAAATCAATATCAGACCACTTTTTTCGATATTGTATTCCTTTGTATTGTTTTTATGAAATTTGACACACATATATTTATGAACAGAGTATTTAGAGGCTTATAGTACATAAATGACTAGCTGAAGTAAAACAAAAGTATCGATTTGCTACAATTTTTTATGGGTGGATCCATCTAGACCCCACACCATCCATGAAGTTCCAAAATGGCAATGTCTACGGAGGGTTCATGTTCACGAATGAGACATTGCATACTGAATCGTATTGAATTAGAATGTCAGGAAATAACCGGCTACATCAATCATATCAAAGAATATGAGATAAAATTTAAAAGAAGAAACATTTGTATCAGAAATATTGCAGCAAAAATTTCATGATTAAAATGATCATGATTATAGCACTTATAGTACAAATGACGCGGATGATGGATGACTTTTTATCATCAATTTACGTTAAAATCTGTGAATCTCTTTTTGATCAACCGATTCGAACTCACAACGCTTTTGAAATAAAAGCATCAATAAAATAAAGGTCGAAAAGAGTTTTCTAATATATCGATTCCTTGTCATAAAATAAAATGAATACATCGATTTTGACGAAGTTCTTAATAGGAAAGCAAACTCAAAAGATCATTGAATCATGTCATGAAGTGAACGATAGCTAAAAATTTGTATTAAGAGATATTTGTTTGTTAACTGCTTAGATCTTCAAAAGTTTTGATGAGTAGCATTCAAGAAATTCTTTATATCTTTTGAAAGGAAACAGCTATTGATCTCGAGCTTGAGCTGATCGATAGAGACAGAGCTAGACTATCGATTCATTGTATTAGTTTAGAAAGCATATTGTTTTCAAAGTGGATTAAGATCATCTTGAAAATTGATGCCATATCTCAGAAGAAAAGCAACTGGATTTTTTCATGAACTCTATAATAAGATGCAGTAATTGTAACGAAAAAAAAAATATATATATATAATTTCGTTATGACAAATGGAGAGGCACATTAATGTCTTTGATCTCATTGTGAGCATAATGTTTATTCGACTGTGCACTATATCCAAATGTAACACTCTCATACACAACATGAGCTTATATAGGAGAGAGATGGAAGAGAAGAGAGAGAATAGATAATACAATACAAGGGGGGGGGGGGGGGGGGAAAGGTATAACAGAAGATTATGCAACGTAAGAATGAACAAGTGATGAGGCCAAGGAGAGAACAGATATAGAAGAACAATCGAGTAAGAACACATAGATGAGAGCAATACATATAATATACGAGTGAGTATAGAATGAGAAGCGCATTACGACAGAAAGAGAATAAGGTTCAATCAAGCATACATAAACGTAAGAGTAATGCGATTATGAACACTATGTAACATTGATTGTATAGGAACACACTGAGAAAGTAAAGATATCACATAAGATAATATGCCCATTGGCACAGTAATGCCGACTGTAGATAGTGTTGTAAACTCGAGTCATTTCTCTTTTTTTGGTTTAAAGTTATCCGAAAAATGCCCACGCCCATTTAACTCTGAAATAACATTAGTTTGTTTTATCTATTTGTTTTGCTGACGATGTTATTCTATATGTGCAATTGATAGTCTGATGCGATTAATATCGAGTGGCGCAGAATAAATGGTATCTCAGGATTTTGGGAATATCCCTTTTAATTTCTATTATCATCCTGTATTGAATAATTTAAAGGGTTTAGATCGAGACTATTTGAAGGCCAATGATCTTTATCAATGAATGATGCAAAATTGTCCCAACATCATGAATGCGTGAAATGGTGAATATATAGTTTTGCAACATCTTGTTGAGAGATCCAATAGTTTCACAGACCTTGTTGCCATATTTCAGTGTCATAGGAAGCATCTCCTGTATATATCAAACATGACTTATCGAACCGTCTTCGGAAATAATTACTGATGAGACTTCCTTAGAATCCATCCATAAGCAAACAATAATATCTTGAGGACATTTTTGTGTCTGCACCATGACATCTTTCTCGTCCGCTACAGCACCATTCACTGTCCACACCGGATCGTTATGAGTCCTATAAATGCCGTCAGTATCGAATATTTTTCTTGTCGAAAAAGTGAATTTTTATCGTCTCATCCTTTCGAAATTTTGTTTGAACCTAGTTCGCAAAGTTTTGTCGTTTGTCTTTGTGCTCGTCAGTGTACACTGGTTCAAATATTTTGTGCAAGGTCGAAGATTCATATCATTTTTGAGTATTTGCGGCATACTTGTTCTCGAAGTACTCAATTCACTCGCCGATTTTCGAGTTGATATTGGTTTCTTTCGCTGCAATAGGCGCTATACTTTCAATATGTAGACAGCCTGACGAACTTGAAAGTTGTATAGATCCAGTGTCATGGATCATTTTGTACCATCGTTTGATGGTACGAAGGCCTAGAGCATTGTTCAAGTCACGAAATATATTCGTTGGATGTTCACCTTTTTCGTACTTTGAAGAAACAATCTTCTGAATATCTTTGCTTTTCACAATCTTAAAAATCAAGGATACAAGTGACTGAAAAATCAAACACTATTCTTGTAGAACATCAAACGAGGAATCTTTCAGAAAAAACTTAGTCCATTGAGCCAATTTTGCATCATTCATTGGAAAAGATCATTGGATGCCAAATAGTCTCGATCTAAACCTTCTCGATCATTCGATATCGGATGAGCTTGTTCATGCATCTAGTGAGACAAAGTAACATCAAAGAAGATGTTGGTTGAAGAACTCAAAAAGTCTGTCACAAAAATTCGACCCGAAATTATCTTTGAAAGCTGCTCATCTTGGATTGCTCGATTGTGTCGTCTGCCGAAAAAGAATGTTTGTTTATTACATTAATAAAAGAACATCGTTTTGCAGAGCATTAAAAGACGAATCTTAAAAAACCCAGGTCTGAACAATGAAAACTGAAAGAGATATTCCTAAAACCTGAGGTACCATTTATTCTGAGCCACTCGTTTTGTATTCCCTTCTTCGTTTATATTGTATTGAATGTTCTTTAATACTCATAACCATGGTGATTGTTATCTTTCTATACATATGAAAATAAATGAAATATAAATTTCTATTTCATATTTTACGGAAAATTAATCATACATATTTTGATCAACACTTGCACAAGCAGAGTAAAGTTTCGATTTGTATCAGTATATGATAGAAAACTGAAAACCATCATAGCAGCGTTACCCGATCGATAGAATTTGAGCTACTCAACTCAATCTATAACCATGGACAACAAAAATATACGATTAGGTTGGAAATCACCCACAAAACCTTTAAAAGGATTATGAGTGACTCATGGATCCAAGAAAAAACGATTTCCAGTATCTCTGTTTCTAAACTATTCAACATACCCATTGTAATTGTTTTTTATTGATAGCTTTAATATACTCGCTTGTATTTCTATGTGTACAAACTGTACAGCCTTTGTAAATGTATCCCTAGTCTCAATCCTGTTCATTCTTAGAGAATCCCTGGAAGGATCTTTCAGGATCCTGTTTCGAATCCTAATAATTCCTGTTTCCAGGGTTTTTCAAGGGAAAATAGGATCCTGTTCAAGATTGATTCAGGTTCCTGCTCAGATTTTTTTCTGAATTAATAATGCAGGATCCTATCAGAATCTAATCCAGATTCTATCAAAGATCTTGATAGGATTGTGAGAGAGAATTCTGTCAGGATTATATCTGGTTTTCGTCAAGCTGTGTTCAATCCTGCTACGAGTTTTCTATCAAGAGTTATAGTTATAGCAGAAAAGGATCTTTCCACAATTAATACAAGATCTATCAAAATCCTAAAACAATAAATCTGGCCAAGCTTCGATCACAATCCTGCTCGAAACTCTTTAAGAACAAGCATTTCGAATTCTTATAAAACAATTCAACTATGATCAGAAGCTTGGTGAGCAAATAGGAGAATCTCATGAAGATCTTTGCAGATGTATGTACGATGTCTATTCAGAATTTAGTTTCGAAGATTCTGTCAAGATTTGTCACTGTTTGTATTAAGGATCCTGGCACGAATGTATGAAAAGATTTCCTTATGTTTTTAACTGGCTTTTGATTAGTATTCATTCAACATAAAACTCATGCGCTTTCAAACGTCAATGTAAGCAAGGAGAATGGTTTTTGTGGTAGTTCAGTTGTAAGATATTTGTTGAAACTAGGATCGACTCTATTTCATTTGATATTGTACAGCGGCGTCAATAATTTTAAAGCCGTTTTAAAATAAAATTCATCATTGAGCTACTCTCTCCTGAATTTAAGTGTTTATTAAAATCAATTATAAATTCACTTGTTGTATTTTTTGTATTGAATCAATAAAAATCGGTTGTCTTCCCATCAGAACAGAAGCACATGTCATTCCCCTTGGGACTTTAGAAAACAGGGGAGAAAACTATGTTTGATTTTCTGAAGTCTTGTAATTGGGCTATAAATGTAAATTTCTTTCAGGGTATAAAAGTCTAGAAAGATTTAATATTTTTAATTTGGAACGGGTTCATAATTCCAATGTGGAATCAAAATAATAAAAAAAGCAAGCCTGATCAAGAATCTCCAAAAGAACAATTAGCATCATCAGGTCCATTGTTGTCATCGAATATTGAAAACAAAGGAGTGAAAATAGTTCAAAACAACTTAGGTGATTTTAAAAAAATGATGAAAAAAGTAGCACCGGATACAAATAGGGTACAGTATGTCACCAGTTATTTACATATGGTTTTACTACTTAATACAGTTTCACTAGATAAAACTATAAATTCTCGATCAAATGAAAAAAAAAACTTGACGATTTAAAGGAATTAATTGGAAGGTATTAGCTATCACTATTTTTCTTTTTGAGAAACCTAATCTATCACCACCAACTGAACCTTTAGTAAGTGCAAATGAATCTATTTTACAATGGCAAGTTTTCTTTTCAGATCGTAAATAAAGTCAACTTGATGACACTACGTGGCAAAATGGCTAGTAGATTTTTATTATCAGCTGCACGTATTGTTTTAACAGATGCAGAATTTACAAGAGGTTATTCACCAGATTTTCGTGGTAATACAGAAAATCGTGTTCTAATTCCACAAGAGTCTATTGACTTACTTCAAAGTTTACAAATATTCTTATCTTTTTATACCCATCCTCCTTTATTTTTTTTTTGTAGGAGCCGTACGGCAAAGATTTGGTTTTAAATAGGAAGATATGGGTAGTATATGGGTTTCTGTTCGAACAAGTCTCGTACAAAAAGTTACTGATATTCATAAGAGTGAAAAGCGGAAAAGTCAAAAACAAGAACAAAACAAACAACCACAACAAGATCCTATTTCTTTATCTGAAGATAATCATGATCTTGTTTCTGTTGCAACAAATAATCAAACATAGGTAAATCATATACAAAATAAGAACAAATATATCGGTATTGGAAAATTATATCAATCGTTCGATTTAGCTGAACAGTTGAAGATATTAATTGATAAAAATATAGATCTACTTCAAAGATATCAAAATGAAGCACGAGCACAAACTACATCTGATGGGAACGATGTTGTTAGAGATGATGTTTATCAATCTATACTAAATGTTCATTAGGATTTTTTTGCATCTGTTATGATGCATAGTGACGGCATTCCTCTTTATAAATCTAAAAATTGTAATGTATGGCCTATATTAGGTGCTGTTTTGGAACTGCCACCATATTCTAGAACTCGTACTGATAATACTCTTCTCCTTTCTTTTTGGATAGGAAAACAAAAGCCAAACTTTAATATTATTTTTGAAAAACTTTCTAAATCAATATCTCATCTTAAAAATGGGGGTATTGACATAAATAATAACCAAATAGTAAAAGTTCTCTTTCCTATGCCTATGCGCGATATGCCTGCTTTATCTACTATGGTCCAGTTTGTAAAACATAGTGCTTTCTATGCATGCATGTTTTGCAACATAAAAGTGACCTACAATCATGATGAGCATTGCGTAATATATCTTATTGATAATGATACGTAGTTAAGGACAAGCGAGAATTTCGACAAATGTGCTCAATTAGCTGCTTTAATGCAAACATGAATAGATCGGGAAAGAACAATGGGTGTCAAAGGTTTGAGTGCTTTTTCCGAGATTCTCGACGTTCCTCTACCTTACTCCGTTGTTATTGACGCAATGCATACAGTTTTCTTATGTCATTCCAAAAAACTTCTTATTCCTTTAGAAACATTTATCACAAGAGAAAATCTTTTAAAAATTAATTTAAAATTTCGTTCAATAAGTTTTATACATGATATTCTTCGTCGACCACGATCATTCTCCAATGTTGAAAAATGGAAAGCATCTGAAGTACGATTATTTATTTTATATATTGGCTTACCTGTACTTGCTGAATTTTTACTTGAAGAAAGAATTGAAGATTTTGCTTTATACAATGTTATTCTTCGTCTTTTACATGACTATTGGGATAATGATAAAAAATTAGGTGATTCAATATCTAGTTTATTGAAAATTTACATTAAAAACTTATCAAAAAATGTTATTTCCAATGTGTATCCACACAAACTACTTACAATATCAACTCATACTCATCTCCATCTTCTTTTTCAATGTAAAAAATTCGGTCGATTAAACTGGTTAATAAACTTTGTTTTCGAAAGTTTTCTTGGCCATTTGAAAGCATTTGTGAAAGGTTCTTCTGGAGCAGGAAATCAATTGACTTTTGCATTTGTTTCCAATTTTTTTCTTTTAAAGGTACAAGGAAATGATGATCGTGATTTTGGTCATTTCTCAATTAATAATGCAACATTTGGTAATAATATATTAAAAATCGAAATCAGTCAATCGATAATTGATTTTTTGTATGAGAACAAATATATTTCTTCTAATACGATATTTTTTTCTCGCCTTCATTATCTTAATACTACTTATCACTCTTTTCTTTATTCTCGAAAAGGTTCAACGTGTAGCTATTTAGTTTCTTATGAGAAAAATGATGTACTTGCGTATGGTTATATTCTCTTCTTTCTTTCAACGGATGGAAATTGTTCAGTTATTATCCAAAAATTAACTCGTGTTAATTATTCTTTAACTTCTTGTTTTTCATCGTGTAGATATGTATCTGCTACAAAAGGTTTTATAGATAACGTGTACATTGTTGTTAAGCGTGTTGAACGTCGCTCTTAAAATCTAATCATATTGATATTTGTCCTATAATTTCTATTCGTTCTCGCTGTTTTTTTTCCTTTTCGTGATGAATTTATGATTCTCACAAGTTACTCATGTGCCTATGAACATAATTAAATAAAAGTACACAATAAAAAAGCTTAAATGATTTTTAGTTGAGCCAATGATAAAAAAAACATAAAAAAATAATGGATAAATTGAAAGATGTATTCATTAAGTTTTGAATTAAATGAATAACAAAAAATTAAGAACGAAATAAGCATAAAGATTACGTGTTGCTTTACTTTCAAACGAGAATACAGTCCAGCTGAGTTAGCTGTTCAGTTCATGAACTGAAGGTCTAGAGTTCAATATTCGATGTGTTCACGTTTCTTCTGCCCTGTTTAGATTATCCTGCAACGATCCTGGCACAATCCTGTCACGATACTGGTAATTTCTACACTAGTAAGTATGCACTAACAAAGTATTACATGCTGAGTCGTAATAGAGCCTGTCAGGTTCCTTCAGGAAAATTAAAGGAAGATGTGATGGAATCAAATAGTATCCTGAATGGACTCTAAGTTGTTTTTAACAATAGCTGTGAAAATCCTGAAAGGATCCTATAAAAACCTTGAAGCCAATATGACAGAATCTTTAAAAAATCCTGTTTCCAATCCTGACAGGATCTTGAATTTCACGGATACACGTTTCTTTCAGGAATTAGTCGTTTCCTCAGGGAAAAGAGTGAATCCTTGCAGGATCCTGGCCGTATCTGGAAAAGATCTGACACTGAAACGTCAAAGATTTTCTCCAGCAATGCATTATTTTTCATTCACTCAATTTATGTCAAAAGAAGAAAGCCGAAAATAAAATTGTAGAAAGTAAAAATGTCGAAAAACTAAAATCTCAAACAGAAAACATACTGAAAGTAAAATTATCAAAATATATCTTGTTTTGTTATTTTTGTTGTTCGAAATTCATGTGGGATATGAAAATATGAATGCTCGATGACTGATACGAAAACGACACTGAGCCAACTGACGTAATATGATGGCCTTGCAATCGTTCTTATTAATTGATGATACCATTCATTTTATCCTTAACTGAAACATGAATTTTCAGAATGAGGATGAGGATGATCTTTCATTCTCACCCACAACCGCAAAACCTACATGGGCAACATTTATACAAAATCCCATCAACACTTTGTATAGTCAATAAAATGATGGCGTAATCAATTCATCAGATCTTCTTTCCAGTTTGTTATATTGTTGGAGCGAAAATCAAAGATATGGAAAATATGCACCATCCACGTTACCTTGTTCATAAAAATTGCTTCGTATCTCATCTTTGCTCGTTGTAAAAAAGAAACATTAGTCACTACCACGATCCCGCCTGTAACCCTGATCATTTTGAGAATTCCTACAACTGGCATCAGTATCATACGGAAAAATCATCACTTCTTGCATCTCTCCAAATGGCCTACTCTCGGGAATAACGCATGTCAAATGTTCCAAGGATAAAAGTTCGCTCCCATTCACGCTTTTTCTTCTAATAATCTTCAATAAGTCTCCTATTTCAAATAGCGGTCTTCTCTTCAGATATATATCAA